CCTGAGCAAACACGAGATTAAACAATCCCTGCTGTTTAGATTTGGGTCTAGAAAGAAAAAGATAGGTTCACTCTTTCAATTCACAAGGGAAAGTCCACAAAGAGCTCCTAATCCACATTGGCTTCCTTTAAGCACAAAAAAACCCTATCCTAATATCTCTACCATACCTAGGGGTTATAAAGAATCGCAAGGGATCAAGAATTTCCACCTTCGTGACGGTTGCTCATAGCGTTCTCTTTGGTTGTTTGAGCTTCGGTGAAGTCCTGACCAGATTTTGTCTGCTCCTTCTCCAAACGATAAAGATTTTATCCTCTAGAAGGAGAGTATGGCGTGGTTCCGACATATTTCCATACTCCAGTGAGGTTTCATGAAGCTCTGACGATCCTTCCCCAAACTATGTAGAAGCTCTCCTTCACCGTAGAAGAGAAGAAACCTTGATTCTTTGTTAGTCAAGCCCTTCCTCTAGAAAACCTCACTCACACTCAAAGAAAATGGTTGAGGAAGAGGAGGAAGGTGAAGAAAGAAAGCTTTCTTGGTTGAAATGAAGAAGGAGAGAGAAGACGAAAGAGAGTGTTGTGGGAAGGAAGTCCTAAATCTCACTTTTCTCTCAAGCTCTTCACCACAAGGAAACTCCTAAGCTTGTTATCCAGCAATAAGAGGAAGAAGGAGCAACTCCAAGCCCTCTCCAACATGTCAAAATGCCGATGAAGGAGTCTTGGAGGAGCCCAAGGGACTCAAAAGCCAATCAACCCAAAATTTCCCCCTTATTTTGCTTAAAGTGGCATGCTACCTTTTTTAAAACCCTTCCAAAAAGGGTTTAATCATCCCTTTCTCTCCCCCTAAGCGAATCTCCACATTAGCTAAGAAATTATGTAATTTTGGCTGTCTAAGGAGGTGTGCGGGGGTCAAAATCATGAAAATCGCGGGATAAAATGGGGGCAGAAAATGTCTTGACTCCTATGTGTTGGGTTCTACCACCTATGCGCTAGGTCTGGCACCTGGGTGTGGGGCACCTGGCACATAGTTTCTGCCCTCTCGGTTTTCCAAATCTTTTTTGGGCTGTTTCGGTATTAGAAACGGGCGCCTAGGCACTGAGACCTGGCGTTAGGTTCCTATCTGCTCGGTTTTGAGACCATTTTATGTTGTTTCGGGTGCCTAGGCACCAGGACTTAACGGTGGGGCTCTAGGGTCTAGCGCAAGGGGTGTCAAGGTTCAACGTAAGGGCGTCAGGCTGGTCCGATGTCTGTGAAGGGTTTTTTTGATTCGTAAGCTATGAGAAACAATATATGACTAAAATATTGTCCCATAACTCTAAAAATGAAAATTTTAAACTGCCTTTTTCTAGGACTTTCGTTGCTGGCGGTCGCTCCAGACCACGGGACAGGTAGGGCGTTCAAAACCCTAATTTTTGTGTGGTTGACCATAGGAAGGTACTTGTTGATCTGGAAGCCACAGAAAGTTGTTTATTGCTAGAATACAACCCTGTAACTCATAAACAAACATTTTGGGTTTTGAATCGTGGTTTTTTGTGCCAATGAGAGTTACAGGCCTCCTAAACGAAAAATTGGTCCGTACCTGACTTTTTAAAAAATGTGTGTGAGAGATCTTGGCGACTGCCCTTGGCCATGGGAGCTTATGAATGGATGGGGGAAGACCTTCAAACTTCAGAATGACCATTATATGTCCCATTTTTTTCAAACTTAAAATCGTATTATGGTGAATTCTCCCAAGTAGGACTGAATCGGTACCAATCCTAATTCCGTGTTCAAGGCACATACCAGGAGGTCCAATTGGATGCCTTGGATGACGAGAAGCTGAACACAATCCCGTGTTGCTTAATTAGACACCCATTATATGCAACATCAATAATTGATGCCAACACAAATGACCAAATTTTTTTCTTCGCTTAGTTAAGATGTGAAGCAATTATAACCATCTAAGAAAAAAATTATTTTCATTTTAATTTGATAAATTAAAGCGATATTTTATAATCATTCCACTAGATTCTAGTTATCTTTTCATCTCTAAATGATCATAAGATCAAAGAAATATGTGTATTTCTTATGAACCATGAGAATAAAAAAAGATGATGGTAATTAATTGCGAAGGGGAACAATGATGGAGATAAGACATCAAGAGTTTACTTTTCTTAATTACAATATGTTTAGTTTAAATTATAATTTTTAAATTAATAGGTATTATAAATTCACAATTAATTACCCAAAATACTTAGTGCTTGGCCCAAAAAAAACAAACACTATTTGATTAAGATAACAAAGTCTTGTTTCTTATATGGATTTAAAACATAATACAACTCACATTAAATAATGCAAGGTAGAAATTGCAATTTCGAATATGATTTTTATAGAAATTATGACTTTACACAATTATTACATAAAACTTCAATTATAAAAGTGTAAAGTCATTCTTGAATGCAAAATACTATTTAAAAAATGTAATAGTTTGATGAGCAACATTTTGCTCTAGAATAACATGACAAAATATAGCTTGCAATAACGACCCTAAAGGATTGCATGGAAAGCTTGCAAATTGCGACAATGAGTCGGCTTGTGATGATCGTTGCACAAATTCAGATAATCGAGTGACAATGTTCGGATGATTATAACCAGGTATTAGTGGTCAAATGATTATGATTGGATGAAAATTGTTGGGTGACAATGATATGACATCTAAAAGTAGTTAGGTGATAATAGCTTGGTGATGATGACCATATGATAATGGTTGAAAAATAATAATTACGTAATGATGCTTGTAGTCATATATTAGATAGAGTTATAAATTTTTTTAGATATTTAAACTCTCTTCAAACTCTAATACAGATCTCTCTCGTGTGGAGAATGATGCTCTACATATATATTTTAAAAGAAATATTTTAATTATTTTGACAAAAGAATTCTTTTAGAGTTCCCATATTGATTGCTTTAATCATAATTCATTTATTTAATATTTATAAACTCTATTGATTTCAGAATTGAATGACCTCGGGCTTGTTGGACTTTTTTGTTGAGATGTTTGATTTAACTATAAAAATACAAGGTTGAGAGATAATTTTTACTTATTAAATAGTACTTCATAAATTTTTATTGTATTTCAAATGCTCGTTGTATGCTTATTTGTTCGCTTTTAGTGTTGTTGCATTATCTTGTTAAGACTTTTAAGTTGACTATAGTCGCATGTCAGAAGATTCATTACAATAGAATGATGATTTAATGTATTAGCATTGTATGAAGATCCATTACACGCACAAATTAAAAAAAAAAAAGTAACAAGAGGAGACATTAAAATTTTTTACGTGGAAAATTCCTAGAAAAGTAAAAAACCATGAGGCCTAGGCCAATCAAAATAATAGATGATATGTTTATATGTACATAGGTCCACTCTTCTCGTAAAATAAAGAATATTGAATTACAAAACTGATAATCTCATATGTACAATAGTAGTATAACCATAATAGTCACAATCGGGCTAAAATAAATATAGTTATTGCTTATAATATTAATAATTAGTCAAAAAAGTTGTTGTTAGTTGTTGTAACAATAATAATGATCACAAAAGCCGTAGTTGGTGGTTGCAATAATATAGTTGGCCACAAAGGCTATGGTTGGAAGTTGTAACAGTGGTAGTTGTTCATATATGTCATAACTGGTGTCTGTAATATCATCAATTGGTCACATAGGTTGTATTTGATGACTACAATAGAGGAAGTAGTTTGAAGTTGTAAAAGTGCTGATCTCATAGTCTGTAGTTGGTGACTATAACATCGTTAGTTGGTCACATATGTTATAGTTGATGACTATAACAACATTAGTTAGCCACAAAGGTCGCAGTTAGTGATTTTAATAATGTTATCGTAGTTGGTGACTATCATATCATCAGTTGGCCACATAGACTCTAGTTGATGACTGCAATAGCACTAGGTAGCCACATGAGGTGAGTGAAATATCATTAGTTGGTCATAGAGACTGTAGTTGGAAGCTGTAACAGTAATAGTTGGTCACATAGGTCATGGTTCGTGGTTACAAGTGCAACTGTCGACCATAAAGGCTGTACTTGAAGTATAATGGTTGCAAAAATGGGTCTCCAATGGCCGGTGATCAACGAGGGGGGTCAGTGATGACCAACGATGATTGACGATGGTCAATGATGGTCGACGAATACAAAGACATAATTTATTGTCGAGTCTTCAGTAAATATTTTATATGCTATAACCAAATTTAGGATATGACGTTTACAAGCAGCGATCGCCATCAACCAAAGGTCGGCATCTATAGAGGTAAGAAGTTATTGTGGGGTCTTCAATATAAGCGTTATAGGTTATAATTGTATTTGAAGTACAATTTTCACAAATAGAGATCGCCGACGACAAGAGGTTGGTGGTGGCAAGCAGGGATAGCAGCCAGTGATCTACAATGACTGACATGCTATGGTCGACCGTGGTCAGCTGCTACGGAGACCAAAAGTTATCACCGAGTCTATTTATAACATATATGGGAGGAGCATTTTGATATTTTGGATAACAACTTTTCGAACAACTTGATCAGACAATCTTTATTGATCCCGTTAATTATAAAGAATTTTTTTTATCATGTTAAACTCCTTCGTAATGTTAGAAATCAGTGATATTCATTTTATTTGAAGAATTTTTTGATAACATATCACCCATTATTTTTAAATTTACATCAATTTGATAATCATAATAATAATTCAAACCATCCCTAAATGTTAGTTACTCTAATCTTTATACAAAGTCATGATAATGACAATAGGATAATATATAACCAAAGCCAACAAGTTTTGAACTATTGGCGACCAAGTGCAATTTGTACGGCCCGATGATGATCCCCCCAAACCGCCATTATCGGACGGTAGAGAAGAGAGAATCAGTATAAAAGTGGCAAGAAGCCATTAGTCGCTTGCCTGAAGAAGAAGGAAATTTTGAAAAGATATAGATCAGAAAAATATATATGAAGAAAAAAAAAGCTCAAGTCGTCTATGTTTTGAATCTTCTCTCTGCGCTCTTCGTGGAGGTGGGAGAGGATTGGAAGTAGAGCCCCAGTGGAGATGGTGGACGGAGAGATGGCCGGCGATGAGGGAGAGGGACTGCGAAAGATGAGGCAGAAGATCGCAGACCAATCGAGGGTAGTGGCGGAAACGAAGGGGTTTTTTTTTTTTTTTTTTTTTTTTTTTTTGGTGGGATTTGGTTCTCAGCTGGGGTGCATTATTCTTTATATGATCTTCAGAGAGTGGCGGAAACGAAGGTGAAATTGTCGAAGCAGGCGGAGCAGACGAAGGAGATCTTATCGAAGCAAGCTGATAAGATCGCCAAGCGAGCAGAGGAGCATGAGAGATTTATAACGAAGGTCGCATATGGTCTCTATTTCTTGTTGTTGTATTTCCATCGATTTTATTTATTTTTTTTAAATATCTTTTTTATTTCGTCATTTATAGTGGTTTAGGGATTTACTTTATTGAAGTATACTTCGTTTGGAGTGATTGCTTACGTCGGACACGTAATTTTGTTAATAAATGTGAACTTCGCTTGTTTTCTGATAATTCAGGTGACGTATTTGTTGAGTGTTCTTGGATTTGGCGGATTTTGTTACATCTTGGGAGCTAGTAAGTGATACTCATATAGTATTTTCCAAGCGTTTGAACTTTGTTGTCTTACACTATCCATGATTTTGTTTTTCAGGGCCACAGGATGTTCCATATGTTTACTGTTTGTTTTATGTTACTTTCGTTCCTCTTAGATGGATATACTATCGCTATAAGAAATGGCACTATTATCTCCTGGTAAGCTACTATTCACTGCATTTTCATTTTATCATAACAGCAGAAACAGCTGGGCAGCCCATCTCTTTCTAGTCGTGATTTGAAATTTGAGAGTGTTAATTAAACTTTGCTACAAGTTTGGTATTCCATGCTCTGTTTAAATGTTGTTGCTTAAATCTCATGCTCCTGGTTTGAATTTTATTACTTTTCGTCTTCCTTCATTTGATAAACAGGATAATCTTCAGCTTCTTCAAGAAATATATTTTCTATATGAAGATGTATGATTAGTCCCGCCCTTATGTTTTGGTGAACTGATTGCCACATTTAACCTTCCAAGGCTCCCATGTCTCACTTGCCCTTTTTTCAAACCTGAGGTTGCATTTTGTCATATGTGCAACTAGATTCACTTTTACAACTCTAGGCATTTCATTTTTGAAAGCTTTATGCATTTTCTATTTTGTTTTATTGGGTATTTATGAAACGATACCTTTTGTTGCTTACTTATGAGCACACATTTCATCAATTAATTTTTCACTTGATGCGTATCTGATATACCATGCGGTGATAGTCGCAATATAGTAGACACGGCGGCATGATATCATTATAAAATGTAGGCCATGACACACTATAGACTTAATGTTATATTTTATAAATTAGTTATATAAAATATCTAATTTTCAATGCTTTCCATTAAATGCATCACCCGATTAATTATGATATCATTTACATATACTTAAAATATAATAATAGAAGAAAAATATGCCCTGCCAATTAATAATAATAATAATAATGTTTTATCATATGTGACATTTTTCATTTAGCACAAAAGAACTTAGAAATTTCTTTTGTTGATAAAGTTATAACTTAACTGTAAAATAAATAAGACAAATTATATATTATCAGTTTTTATTTAGTTGCATTACTGAGACAATGTGCTGGAGTTGCTAGCTGTTTAGGATGTTGTCGGAACAAAAATCAATAGCTAACAGTTATGCTAATTAGTGGTAAATTTGCTACATAATCAGCTTCAATGTTAACAACTTTTCTATTAAGTTCATTTAGTTAATAAATAGAGCAGAAAAAATATTTTGATTTTATTTTACTGTGGTGTTGTAAGCAATCTATGCATGCAAAAAAAAAAAAACTTACAATTTTCAATGAGAGAACAACAACAATAAGCGGCTTTTAAACAAGAAACTTCAGTGGGCAACTTAGAACCTCTAACTCAAAGTACAAGTAAACATGGATGATATTAACAATTTAATAAGCTTACCTTCTACGCCGTAGTTATACAGTGAAGACTAGGGAGCTGAATCATTGACTGCTATTGAAACTTTGTGTGAGCTCGTCGAAGGGGAGACACTCTGAAAAGAAATGAAGAGCAAGGTAGGTTGATGGCCGAGCAAGCTTTGTCAAAGGACTCAAAAGCTTGTCTGAGGGCCATCAAGGGAGAGTTGTTGTTGCATGCTACATAGAATGAAGAGAAATAAAGCATGGGAAGGGCACAATAAAGCTAGGGATGAAACAGTAATACTTAAAATGCACATGCAATATATCTCTTTGACCATCACACATCTCTAGTGTATCGATCCTATGGACATTTGATATAGGACTATGTCTTTGCCACGTCGAAACTTTATTTTAGCTAGGCATGTTAAAGATATGTTTATGTCAAACACGTATCAGATATATGAAAGTCTTTAAAGCTTTATTGTTACCTAGATTGTGACTTTGCATTGTCAAAATCATTTTATCATGTAGTCAAACATATAGTAATGTTGATTTGTTTTATTGGTTGAATGCTAAGTTATTTTTTAAAGGGAATGTATTCAAAGAGTACTTCCAATCTGTTTTCTCAATAGCTCATATTTGAGTCTACCTTACTATTATTGTTTTTTATTTTTGCCGATAAAGAGTTTAATTATTTAGTACTTGAGCTATTTTTTTGAGGGATAATATAGGTTGTTGCATATTTGAATATCTTTGAGAAGATTGTTATAGAACTTTTAGAAGTTTAAGCAATAAATTAGAAACAAGTGCAGTTTTTGGTGGAGCAAAAAGTGCAAATGATTTCTTAGGGCTATGAAATGTACTGTTAGGAAATGGCAAAAAAAGTACTATTAGGAAATGGCGAAAAGGTCCACAGATGGTTGTAAGCAAGTAAAAACTATATATATATATATATATACATATATATATATATATATATATATATATTTATATCACTGTTTAAGCACTAAAAGATGGTGAAAATGAAATCTATGACATAGCTAAGGCAAGAGATGAAAGCTAATGACTTTTATCAACTTTGATTTATTAAAGTAAAAATAATAAGATGTTGGCGAAGGACAAAGATACCAAGGAAAATTCATATCTTATCTTGAAGGACAAGCTTGTTAATAGCATAAAATTAAATGTTAGCTCATTGCATTGCAACGTATACTTCAGGCACTATTTCTATTGCAAGTTGCAAACAATCAAAATAGATTGTGCTTTTAGTGCATTAAGTGAGCTATGATGCATTGCACTAGGTGCAAATGCTTTTTTTATTTGCTCATAAGATATGATGAGGATTAGGTTATTGGTTGAAGAGGATAAGGGTGATGAATATTATAATGTGAAAGATGATAATAATGAATAAAGTGTGGCTATTTTGTTTTACGATGATAATTCTAAGGATGTAGCTTTTTTTAAAATTTATTATTGATGGTTATTTTTTAATTTTAATATATGAAGTTTGATGGTTGCTAGTCTATATTTTCTTAAGTGTTACCAGGTTTCACAAGCTTAGGTACATTAGATCTATTCTACCAATGAAACTTGATGTTGATGAGCATATGATATCTAACGTTAAAAAGGCTGTTGTTAAAATAAAGTGTCTTGGGGCTGCTATGTGACGAGAATGTATCTCTAGGAAAGAAAAAACTTATAAAGCTACAACATCCTTTGTTAGCCCACTCTCAAAAAAAATATATCATTGATGAACTTATATCCATAGAAAGTTCTACATGGGCACCAACTTTATCTTGCTCATAATCAAAACCACTCAGGTCCATCTCATACAGGCTAATCAAAATGCTTGACTAACTTGCCTGGGATGTCCAAGGAATGCATAACAAGAACAATTCAAATAGGAAGCAAAATAAAGAAATAAAAAGCATAAAAGGCTGAAGATGGTAAATTCCATCGCAATCTTTTGCATGATTTAATTCCTCCTTCTTGCACCAAAATACACTAACTAAATTTGCACCACTTATCAATAAACAACTAACTAAAAGACGGTATGCTTCCTGCAGCACCAAAGAGTTGATTCAGCACAATTAAAGCTACCATAACAGCAGCTCCCCATTTATAACATCCAAAAAAGAGGGGCATTTACAATAATTGCTTTTTATTACATCTTAAATTATGAATATTAACAAAAATGTGATTCCAAATGACCCAAAAAAATAATGCAAAACAGGTTGCTGGAGCAACAGGTAATCATCATATTTCATCATTGTTAATAGAGAAATGGACCCAAGTTAGCCAAAACATCCAAGACTTGAGTATGTAGAGAAGCTTTCCACATATCACCATGCATACAATCCCTATGATAATGGACGCAATGGTTGCCTAAGAGTCTCTTTGCCATCCAAAGATGCCACAATGTCACCAAAAAAGCATACACATCCTCGTATTGGCCAGGTGCACAAGATGGATATACCACAAGTCACCATCAAGCCCATAATCATAAATGAAGCAAACTAGAGTCTGCAGCACATTTGGGCAAATTATGTTTCTCAGAAATCCACATAACAGCCACATAAGAAGTCTATATAATTGCATTTCCTGGAGCAACTTGAGATAGAGAGAGCAGCAGTAGAATCCTCAGCATTGTTGTCTACCAATGATTACTAGCCATCATATGCGGCCAAATAAAAATATAAAAAGCATATTGGTCCTAAGATGTGCATTATGACTAACAAATTACCATTTTTTTAAATATATCCTCAACAGATTCACAAATGTTTTAGGAAGGATAACCTGGTTGATTGTTTAGACATTGGAATTCACATCCTCCCAAATTAGCTTCAAGAGAAAGAAATACCAAATCATAGTTAAATTTTAATATTTGAGCGAGAATTTGAAAATTGGATGAAAAAGGGTGCTGGGTGCTGGGTGTTGTTTGTTGGGTGCTGGATGCTGGGTTTGTAAATAGTAATGTTTCAAGTGCTATGTATATAAGTGCCCCAAAAATAAAAGCAGATCTGTCCAAATCAAAGCTTAGGTGTTAGATGTGTAAATACATAAGAACTGGGTCTTATGTATGTAAATTTCCCAAAAAAATATTATCAAAAAGATGTGGAACTTTCCAGCGGAGAAACAGCAATCAATGAATCTTACAACAAAATTGTCAACAAAATTGTCATATTCATACTCCTTATAGGGAAGAACACAGATGTGTTCAACTGCAGCAACAAGCATATCGACGCATAAAACAAATTCTTCAGCTTCATCGGAATTACTTATGAACCTTACACCTCAACATGTAAACTTCCACAGATGTGTCCAAATGCATAAAAAGGGCATATTTCTATGTATAAATCACAATATAAGATATTTGGTTGAGTATATTTCATTCTGAAATACAGAAATTTTATACAATTTTAGAACTTACAGTATGAAATATATTAAATCAAGGAGCGGAAAAACAGCATATATAGATGGCAGATAAAGGTCATCTTAATTGTGACAATTACCCAAAAAAACATTTACATGCATGCCACTAAATTCTGATTTATTTACATATCTAACACATACTCGATTGATTTGGTTTGGATTCATAAACACACTCATTTATATGCCCCTAGCTTCAGTGTGCTATGTATATAAGTGCCCCAAAAATAAAAGCAGATCTGTCTAAATATAAAAATTACAATAAAGCTTAGGTGTTAGATGTGTAAATACATAAGAATTGGGTGGTATTTATGTTATATATGTAAATTTCCCAAAAAAATATTATCAAAAAGATGTGGAACTTTCCAGCGGAGAAACAGCAATCAATGAATCTTACAACAAAATTGTCAACAAAATTGTCATATTCATACTCATAGGGAAGAACACGGATGTGTCCAACTGCAGCAACAAGCATATCGACGCATAAAACAAATTCTTCAGCTTCATCGGAATTACTTATGAACCTTACACCTCAACATGTAAACTTCCACAGATGTGTCCAAATGCATAAAAAGGGCATATTTCTATGTATAAATCACAATATAAGATATTTGGTTGAGTATATTTCATTCTGAAATACATAAATTTTATACAATTTTAAAACTTACAGTATGAAATATGTTAAATAAAGGAGCGGAAAAACAACATATATAGATGGCAGATAAAGGTCATCTTAATTGTGACAATTACCCAAAAAAACATTTACATGCATGCCACTAAATTATGATTTATTTACATATCTAACACATACTCGATTGATTTGGTTTGGATTCATAAACACACTCATTTATATGCCCCTAGCTTCAGTTTTTTTACAATTTGTTCAACAATAAATTTAAAATTCGTTCAATTATAAATTAGAAGTGCCGTAGAATCAACCAATAAGCTTAACTCCAATGGCATACATCAGCAAATACCTCACATATAACAGACAAATACATTTCAAAATACTTTAATAAACATATAATATTGTATCAAATATAAAATTTTGGCATATTGACCATAAAAAATCATATAAAATTTCGGCATTCTGAAACAAACAAGCAAAAATGGAATTAACGGAAAAAAATAAATTCATATACCAGTGAGATCGCCGAAGAAGCCAAAGGAGGTCAGGAACATGGGAGGAAGAAGGAATCGGAGCTGTAAAGGAGGATCATCGTTTGTTATCCTTAAAAAAAAAAAAAAAAAAAAAAAAAGAAACGAAAAAAAAAAGAAATATTACGGCAAGATCTCCGAAGAAGAAGAAGAAGAACGGGACGGTCGAAGGCAGCGAAGAAGTTCTGAACCGAAGAAGAAGAAGAAGAAGAAGAAGGAAAACGGGGTTGTCGAAGGCAGCGAAGAAGTTCTGAACCGAAGAAGAAGAAGAAGAAGAAGAAGGAAAACGGGGTTGTCGAAGGCAGCGAAGAAGTTCTGAACCGAAGAAGAAGAAGAAGAAGAAGAAGGAAAACGGGGTTGTCGAAGGCAGCGAAGAAGTTCTGAACCGAAGAAGAAGAAGAAGAAGAAGAAGGAAAACGGGGTTGTCGAAGGCAGCGAAGAAGTTCTGAACCGAAGAAGAAGAAGAAGAAGAAGAAGGAAAACGGGGTTGTCGAAGGCAGCGAAGAAGTTCTGAACCGAAGAAGAAGAAGAAGAAGAAGAAGGAAAACGGGGTTGTCGAAGGCAGCGAAGAAGTTCTGAACCGAAGAAGAAGAAGAAGAAGAAGAAGGAAAACGGGGTTGTCGAAGGCAGCGAAGAAGTTCTGAACCGAAGAAGAAGAAGAAGAAGAAGAAGGAAAACGGGGTTGTCGAAGGCAGCGAAGAAGTTCTGAACCGAAGAAGAAGAAGAAGAAGAAGAAGGAAAACGGGGTTGTCGAAGGCAGCGAAGAAGTTCTGAACCGAAGAAGAAGAAGAAGAAGAAGAAGGAAAACGGGGTTGTCGAAGGCAGCGAAGAAGTTCTGAACCGAAGAAGAAGAAGAAGAAGAAGAAGGAAAACGGGGTTGTCGAAGGCAGCGAAGAAGTTCTGAACCGAAGAAGAAGAAGAAGAAGGAAAACGGGGTTGTCGAAGGCAGCGAAGAAGTTCTGAACCGAAGAAGAAGAAGAAGAAGGAAAACGGGGTTGTCGAATGCAGCGAATAGCGAAGAAGTTCTGAACCGAAGAAGTTCTGAACCGAAGAAGAAGAAGAAGAAGGAAAACGGGGTTGTCGAAGGCAGCGAAGAAGTTCTGAAGGAGGAAAACGGGGTTGAAGGAAGATTTTTGGCGCGCAGGAGGAGGGCGGTGCGCGGCTAGGGCAAGAAACGTTTCGTGGAAATGGTATGCGGGAGGGGCAATGCGATAATATTCGCCAGCGAAAAAGCGCGCAGCTAGCTATTGCCGGCGGCCCAACTTTCGCTCGGATTCCTCGAAGCCAGGCAGCCACCGTCGCGCCAAACAAAAAAAGAAAATAGAAAATAGCGGTCCGTGGCCGCGACGCTGCAAAAAAGTCGCGCCAAACGTAGCCTTAGACTGATTATGCTATATAGACCTGGGAGCTGTGTTAAATAAGTCTTTGATGGCCAACCTTTTATTGTGGAAGGGATGAAAAAATTAGTTGTATTTGTCATAAATTTAGAAAAGATAGATTGAGAAATGGTTATTTAGAGAGACTGTTGGTTTAACACCTACTGAAAACAGATTAAAAAAAACCATTGTGATTTAATACACTTTAAAGGATGGTAGACGATATTACTAATAAAATGAGTATATAAAATTGATGGGATGGTTTAAGGAACAAAATAAGTAGACCAAAAATAAGATGAGTGGTACTGCTGCGAAAAAGATTTGTGCAAAGTAGATTCAACACCTTATGTATCGCTCATCTAGAATGATTGGTGAGAAAATGTATGTAAAACCAATCCACTTATTTGTGACAAGGCTAATGATGATAATAATGATGGTTTCCTTTGTATTAGGCATTCTCTTACTTATCTATAGCATGCAATGTAGTAATTGGTAATCTATCCTTCATTTTCTCATGTTATTGCTTATATCTTATAAATGATTGGGAATTTTACTTTGCTCAATTCTTATGGTACAAATTTCTTCTCTGATAAGAAACTTTTATTTATTTATTTGGTAAAAGTTAATCATCCTACTTTGTTTCATTCATGTAGCCATACTATTGAGCACTAATTGTAAAGGCTGCACGCTTATTTTTTTCTTTTTTCAAAAAAAGCCTTCAGATTCCAGCTCTATATTTGCGTAGGATGTGCTTATTGATATTTTAAACTAACTAGACTTGATATGCTGCAGGATTTCTGCTATTATGCGAACACAATCTTCTTGGTTATGTTACTCATGTTTCCAAAGAATGAGAAATTTTTTATGGTTTGCTTTTCATTTGCAGAAGTAAGCAGATATTTCTTTTTATTAGTCATATAATTTTTTTCCTCTTATTTTCTGTTGACCAAATCATTTATCTCAAATTATCAATTTATTTGCTATAGGGTCCATTAGCTTGGGCTTTGATTGTTTGGCGCTGTAGCCTAGTTTTCAGTTCGTTTGACAAGATTGTCAGTGTTCTCATACATCTTTTACCTGGTAAGCTAATATTGCTGTGAATTTTGTGATGATATGTGTTCATACAGACCATTTAAGTATTTAAGCATGCATTTGCTATTTTCATGATGGTTATTTTTTTGACTAATTGAATTTTAATGTCCAATTTTGTTTTTTTATTTTTTATTTGAAATTTACATACATGCCACTCAATTTTTATACCTTTACATTTCTAGGACCTAAACTTCAATTTTTACACATATGCATACCGCCTTTCTTATGCACGAAAAGGTGTATTACACATTTTAAAAGTTAAAATGTTGGTATTTTTGAAAGATTCGGGTGATATGAATGAATTTTAGATGTTAGATATGTAAATACATAGGAATTGAGTGGTATGTATGTTAGTGTCCTTTTAATTTTTTTTTTTTAATTATTTTATTTTTTGTCACTTTAATTTATTGTAGGAAATGGTATTTTGTAACAGCACTTTTGTCTTTTTACTAATTATCTACTAATATAATCTTTGATGACCCTTCTTTTACAATATATTGGTGCTTGGTATGTTTACTTGGTTTTGCAACTCTAAAAAAGATATGTTGAAGTGAAAAAGTGCTGTTATTGGGAACAGTTATTCTTTTGCCAGAGCTTTCTTTCACTTGTGTGTGATAGCTTTGTAAGCTTGAGTGCACGTCTGTGCGCTTGGGGTTGTGCTGATGGTTTTGTGTGGTTGGCTTGAAGTGCCTAATACTAGTTATTTTCTTTGAATTGCCCTTCTCCCTTTTAAAAGCAATAACATCTAGGAATAATGTATAAATTGTCTTCAATTGAATTTTCAGGACCCACCTTTTTAGTTGTTTCTGCAGTAAGTACTCTGTTGTATAATAATCGGAGAGGACCATTTAGTATTGTCTTTAGCTTTCTTAATATCCTTAATTCTTGTTGTGCTCGATTGTTATTAGCAAGATTTTGAAAATTGGTTTGGCCATGGAACTGAAAGGAGGGATTCAAGATTTAATGGTTGAATAGGATGATGTAATAAATATTAAAATTATTTTAATATAATTTAAATGAAGCAATAATATAAATACGTAATAAAATAAACATAATTTAAACACAAGTTACGTCTTCAACAACTATAAATTTAGAATATATGAATATATATATATATATATATATATATATTTATATATATATATATATAAATATATAACTAGTTTTGCAACTTGAGCATCTAAGTCACCAAGGTGTTAGGTATACCATGGATGAAGTTGTTTGAGCTCAGATTAATTGGATTTCGGGTTTTTAAATCGATGATTGTAAGTTTAATGTATCAAAATTTATAGAATTAAATTTTATGGGAAAATTTTCATCCATTTGATTTAGAATTAGAGTTGATTAAAAATATTATTTGGATCGATTGGTTTTATAAAATCGGTATCAGTTTGATACAGAAACAGTTCTTAATGCTACCTAGACCATCTATATGCCTGGTCACGGTTGAATATGTGTATGCACTCGCGCGCACATTTATATATACATACACACATATATACATATATATATATATATATA